TGGGTTTTCCAAGTAGCCACGGGTACCTAAACGTAGGCAGCGGCGAACCAGGCGAACCGACGCAAAGAACATGCGATTTGCAGCCTGAACTTTGAGAAAATCAGCAGTCTCAAGGTGGGGCAAACCAAATAGAAAATCTGCACTCCGCAAAGGCTTTGGCATTCGAGACCAAGGTGGCGCGCGCCTAGCCCTTGACCATGTGTTGCACGGGAGGTCCACTCCCACACAGTCAAAGAAATGCAAGGCTCGAAAAAACTTGATTCCAAATCGAAAACTTTGAAAGGTCATTGGACAGGGAGTGGGATAAATCAACCAGCAAAGACAGACCACCCAAATCAGCGAACTGTTTTGCAGGGTTGCCCGCTCCCCCCAAACAGACTTAAGAATGCTTTCTTTTGGAGCTCTGGGCCTTCTGCCGCACCTGCTTTGGGATCTCCCGAAACCCAGTGTGGAACCAACGAAGAAAATTCTTTCTCACATTCTCTCCGAAATCCGTCAGCCGATTGCCACGCTGATTCACGATTTGTTGAAGTCTCCCGGGTTTGCTGTAGATTCTGGAGCTGCTGTCGCTTGCCCACCTCCCCCTCCGTTGAATGTTCCCCACACTCCTCAGTCTGAGAAGGTGGTCCCGGCTGGCGCCTCCATGACGATTCTGGTAGGGGGTCTCCGCCACGTCTTCCACCTCTAGAGCTCTCACACACTGTCGCCACGTCTCCAGGTACTTGCGGGCTGTGAAGGGCCACAGCTGTCCTCCTTCTCCTACTTCTTTGCTCCTGCGAGCCGCCAACTGGTTCAAGAGCTCCCCCCAGCCATGGAGCGCGGCTGTCGTCCAGGATCAACGTCTCGTCGAAAATTCCGGCTTTCGATGTTTCCCCTCGTTCGATTGGGTTCAGAATCAACACGTCGAAGTTGTGTCCTGGGGCACGCGGAACCACATCTACTGGTCGAAGCCTGAGCAGCTCTCCTGGTCGGGCATAAGTTGAAAATGAGGTTTCGTTGAACAGAGACATTTCCCGCTCCCCCCATGTCCATCATGAGACCACTGATGCAGCTCTTGAGGAACTCCATCATGAGAAGGCGTGTTTGCTGCGGCGCTAATTTGCGCCATCCCTTCATGGCTCGCTTGAACCTGGGCAGCATCAGTTGGCCAGACCTGATCCCCTCTGGCCGTTCGTACTCGAGGGCAGCTTTCAACTTTTCTCCGACATGACACCCCTCCCCATCGAGGAAAAGCTCGTCGGCATAGTCGCACATGGCTATGTCTAGCTCGCCTTCGGTGCGAATGCTCAGGTTGTGAAATGCTACGAAGTTGTAGAATTCTTCCAGCCTCCGAGAGTATTCTTTCCTTTGTGGCTCTTTCACGGAGTGGATCTCCAAAATGGTCCTTTCCCCTGCACTTGCTCTCAGCTTGCGCACGAACTTCTTCTGTCTTTCTGTAGCTTTCCTCCTCTTCTTCTCTACTGACTTTATCTGCTGCCTCAATCCGCTGTTCATAACCTTGACTCCTGCACTTTCCCTCGCCCTCGACGGTGACCGACTCCTCTTCCTCTTTCGGCCTGCCTCCAGAGAAGGGCTTCGCATCCTCTGGTTTGCACGCACAGCCTCTGTCTTGGAAAAATTTGCACCTCTCTTCGGGGCTTTGCGCTTTTCGAAGTCTTCAGCTCGTCTCTCCCTCTCCCATTGGCGACTGCCCTTGTCAGCAACATTTAGTTCTGAAGCCAGCCACCGAATGTGAAAGCGTTGCCCCGTAGCCAGGGCATGAGCCGATATCCTACGAATAATCCGAAGCAGACCATAGTTGTGACATCTTCCCTTTTGTAAAGCCAAGACCACCGACATGTTGTCATTGAGTATGAGAATCTTCTTTCGATGACGGTGGTGGTCCCGGCTTCTGTGCTTTACTGCTGCTAAAATGGAGCGGGCTTCAATCATGTGTACTGGTTCTTTGTGGGTTATATGGGAGTTCCAGAGAGGATGCCAGGCTTTCTCGTTCATGAAATCATGACCAACTTCGGGAAAACCAGCTACTAATTCCAGATCGCCAAAAACCTCGCCAGTAACTTCAGGAAGCACTGTCTTGGGGTCCTCAAAAAACTTTGGAGGTGTCCAACGCTTGACTGCGAGGCGCAACCTTTCTGCCATCTCCCCACCTGAACCGCCATCTCTCGTCGTAGCGGCCAAGCGAAGCCACTTCCTGCGAAGAGTGCTGCGATTCCATCGCAGCATAGCCCGACAAACAAGCATCGGTGCAAATTGGTTGGCCATCCCAGGCAGCAAAAAACATTGGCAGTACCTAAAGCCATCAGCCCTCTAAAAATACGAAGTTCCAAAGCGACTGAAGCCCAAAGCCTATGCCTCTGGTGGTAAAATCTGCGAATAAAAACATATGCATGCCGAAGGATGCTCATGAGCCCCCGGTGTAAAAGAGCTCGAATCGTCAGGTGACCCACAATCACTTCCAGCTCTTGCCCCGATATGCGAGGCCTTGCAAACGCCAGTCCTTCCAAGGCACGATCGAGCCTCCAGTCCCTCGCCGCTGTGGTCCCCACCTGGCCGGCGGCGCCATTGATCCGGATCCCCAAGCTCTCTGCGAGGGAGACTGGATCAGTGACTTCGTGAGTTTCCAGTCCATGCGAGTGCAAAGAACCAATCATGTTTTTCTGTTCTTCCAACAGCTTCTCCCTCTCTATCCCTATGTGGTTGTTGTTGTCAGCATAGATCAACAGGGCTGATGAATGCTGCCCCCCTCCCATGTCCCAGGATCGGCGCTGGCCGCCGGTCTTGAAGTATCCCGCAGTGAGGCAAACACCTGGCCGACAGCTCAACATGCGCCATATGCGCCAGGTGGAATGACCACGAGAACCCCATGGGAAGTACTTGAAAAAAAGGGATGAATAGGAGCAGTGTGTCGATCTAGTAGCTCTTCCACACCAGGAGGAAGGAACCCCAAAGCATCACGAAGTTGGACTGGATCAATTGCGGGGAGAGCAAAATATTCACCTAGGGGACGATGAATACGAAGCCGATAGAAAAAGTCTTTGACATCTTCTTGTGCCACGAAGAACTCGGCACCGGGCTCGTCAAACTCCAATCTAGTCCACGTATCTGCAGACCCCAAAAGAGTGGAAGGGGGGAGACCGAAACAGTTTGTTTGTGCGTCTTGCGTCCACCACCAAACGTTGCTTTCCTGATTTCTTGGCAACACAAAACACCCCCACTTGAGACTTGGGTGCAATGGTGAAATCCAACAATTTGCACGCAAAGAGGTCTGCGACAAACGCATGGTACTCTGTTTGATCTCCTTCGAGCACTGGGTCAAGGTATTTGTCGCGGCTGAAGCCTCGCTCCAAGACACCGGCCATCTCCTCATCGGAGAGAAGCATTGAGTCAGCAAAATGCTCCAGTTGTTCTTTTTCTTTGGCTGGAAGCAGGTGACTCAACTGTACTGGGTCTTGCTGGTCTCTTGGGAGCGAAAGCAGCGCCCTCTGATAGGCCACAACCTGGCCTGGGGCGTCCCCCGACTCATAGCCTGAGGACACCTTCTTGGACAGCAGCTGCCGAAGCGCTGCCTGTGGGGTCTCCCTCTCAGGGGGGTGGAGGCCTTTTGAAATGGGCCTCACTCACCACCTGCAAAGCAGACTTTTGGGAAAAATTTGTAGGAGAGCTTGGCCAAGACGACTCATCGGCAAAGCCTGCAAGGTGGTTCAAGCACTTCACAGTCTCGATCTCCCGGGATACAAGCAGCCTTCGCTTCTGTACCCTTTGTCTCGAGCGCCAAGAATGCAAGGCAGAGACATCTCCCACGTAGCCATCATCCCTCGGCAGCGGCAGTGGGAATAGATCCCCAAAACGCTGCAAAGGAGCATTGGAAAACATAGTGGTGCTAAAAGGTAGTTCGCACCTCCGACCGGCACCCTCGATCGGAGGCGGCCTCTTCTTCTCAGGGCTTTCCTGGGGCTTTGCCCCCCATCCTCCTTCTCCTTGTTGCCCTTGCCCTCGCCTTTGCGACTGAGTCTCTTCTCCTCACTTGCCAGGCGAGTCTGCTTCATCCCCTCCGCTTTGGTTGCTTGTCTCTTTGCCGCAAAAGCCGCCAAAGCTGGGTCAACTATCGATCCATCAGCACTTTCTCTCACTCCCAGGAAATCCTCTGCGCCTTCGTACGAAGGGGCATCTGGTCGCCCTTGGTGAGCATGTTCGATCAAAGTCCGACGCCTATTCAGAGCTTCAGCAGCCGCAATGGCCGGCAAGTTGAGCTGGTCATAGCACATCATCAGGTTCAGCGCCCGGCAGACCGAAGAGTGCTCGTGGACTGACCTGTCAGTGGGCCTCACACCACTCTTTTTTTAGCCAAGACTCGTGATGCTGAACAAAGTCAAGCCCCAATCGGCGAAGCTGGCGAGTGTCATGACTGACAGTGCGAGGACCCTGCAGGGGGGTAATCGTCAAACTCCACGTCCTCGAATTCCGGCACCGCCTCCGACACAGTGCGCCACCTTTCCTCGGCCGAATCGAAGATGACTGGAAGGATCCGAAGATCCCGTTCTGCCGGAGGCTCAACATTGACCCCAGCAAGAGCGGCTCTTTGTACCAAGTGGAAATCCTCATGACGAACCCCCCTACAAAGCACCTCTCGCCCATCATCACTGAACATGCTGAACTCTTTCCCACCAACGAACAACCTCTGCACGTCAGCTCCAATCGCCATTTCATCACCTACCCCTCGACCATCTGAGGCGTAGACCACCAGCCACCGCTGTTCCCCTTCGGGTCCTTGCTCCGGGGGCTGTTGGTGAGGAGGAGCTTGGGCTTGAGCCTCCGGAGACACAACACCTTCCGGTTCCTCTAGTCTTCCCACAACACGTCGACGAGTACCATCAGCGGCAAACCGTCTCTCTGCATTAGACATCAGGGTCCTCATCTCATCGTGCAGGATGACACCATTCGGAGAGTGCTTGGGCAAGTAGGTCTCCCGCTCCCGGATTCCAGCGGGAAGCTTCCCACTTGTCATCTTCCTGATTTCAGAGTACACTGATCCAGTGGCAAGCCTAGTTGACTCCAAGTCTCTATCTGGGGTCAGCACCACCACGTTGTCTCCATACAAGCACAGCATCACACATCTCCAGTGAAGCAAAGTCGGGTCACTGATGTATCGAACGAGCACGCAATCTTGCGGCAGCCAGTTCTTCCGAAGAGGTCCCGCCGCTCTCATCGCTAGACACTAGGTGGCCTACGCCTCCCTTCTTTTTTGGTCACCAGGGTGACTGGGCGCCCCGCCAATGGGGTGCTAGG